ACGTGCGAGTCAATGGGCAGTCCACGTCAACATGAAAGCTCCGAAATTGTTAATTTGTTATAAAAGATCACAAGCAAACAAAGCTGAGTTAAGGACATGAAATGGAAGTTTTGGATTTTCAATTATAGGCGACAAAAATACCAGCGATGAGACGGCCCAACCTCAACCACCTTCGATGCAAGACATTTGGGGTTCCTTGTCATAATTGAGGGGGAATAACTATTCAACAGCTCTTCCGTGGCTTACAGCAATAGCATCCATCGATGGTTGGCTCCATACATTAATTATTTCACATCCGACCTTGGCCTACCACACTTCCCACTCGAACTTTCTACTTCGCCTCTCCTGTCAATTACTCTGCCATCATTCATTGTTTCATAAATCACACTACAAACATCGCGATTTCTTAATTAATTCTCAAACTACCACTATCTCCTCGCTGCTATTATGTCTTATGCTTTATATACACATTTATAAACGCCACAAGTCCGACACAAATATTCTATAAATTGAAAAGTCCATTAGCACTTTACAAGACTATTAAATTATTCTCTAGATGTACTTTAACCCAAATATTCTATTGATTAACGTTGTTATTGGGAGGCGCAGGCCGCACCAACCACCCCAAACTGCTCCAGGCTTCAAATATTATCTTAATGAAAAAGTCTGCCGTCTTTTGGAATGACAAGGCTCAAATGATAGGGGTACACCTCAATTGACAATCTAGCTTAACAAATTGAACATTTGGGGCCACAAGTTACGCTGCAGTAAGTCCCAGAGCCAAGAACCAACCAATATCTCTTTTCCCCTTTAAAAGCCGGTACATGCACCTTTGATTCCCACAGCAAAATTGGTAAAATTAGTAACAAGCATGGCTGTTATGGTTCCTTTCTTGAGCTTTATTCTCATCTTCTCGCTAGTTTCAGTAGGGAATTCTCTGAGTTCAAACTACTATGAGAAAACTTGCCCTCATTTGGAGTCAATAGTTGCTCAGGCTGTGAAGAAGGCCACTGCCAGTGACAACACTGCTCCTGCGGCACTTCTGAGAATGCACTTTCACGATTGCTTCGTTAGGGTGATGATTCAAACAACCTCTCCTTCTTTCCCTTCTTGTACCTTTTATCATTTGAACTGATCTGTTGTCTCTTTTCTGAAGGGATGTGATGCCTCAGTGCTACTAAACTCAAAAGTGAAGCACAAAGCAGAAAAAGATGGACCACCAAACATGTCTTTGCATGCGTTCTATGTCATTGATAATGCAAAGAGGGAAGTAGAAGATTCATGCCCCGGCGTTGTCTCTTGTGCTGATATCCTAGCTCTAGCAGCCAGGGATGCAGTTTTTCTGGTAAGTAAAGAAAATGCAGAGCTCAGTTTTTTTCCCCCCAATAAGTTATACTAATTCCATGGGACCATTATGTCCTTAAGCACTAACATGGAGAACCACAGTTCATGTTACATGGATACTCAAGTAACTCATCTCATCATTGAGATGCTGATATCTTCATTTATGATTGGGCTCAAACTACAAATCCTTAGTAGAAAGTATAAAAACAACGTGAGACCTCAAGATTTATTTTGAGTATGCAACCTTTGACAGTATCAAAGAATATGAGAGCTATTTTTAAATTGCAGTCCGGAGGTCCATATTGGGATGTTCCCAAAGGAAGAAAGGATGGAAGAGTATCCAAGGCCAGTGAAAGCTTTCAGCTGCCAGCACCAACTTTCAACATATCACAACTGCAGAAGAACTTCGCTCAAAGAGGTCTATCTTTGGAAGACTTGGTAGCTCTCTCAGGTAAGCAAAGCAGAGAACCCAAACTGCTTTCCAATAGGTTTCTTGCAAACAGTTTAGAGTAATACTGTCTTTTGATACATGTATAGGAGGACACACTTTGGGTTTCTCCCACTGCTCATCCTTCAGGAACAGAATCCAAAATTTTGATGCCAAACATGACGTGGACCCATCGTTGAATCCGTCATTTGCAGCAAAACTAAAATCAATTTGTCCGGTCAAGAATACGCCAAAGAATGCGGGTAGCACTATGGACACTTCGGCAACTACTTTTGATAATACTTATTACAAGTTGATACTCCAAGGGAAGGTCCTCTTCTCTTCTGATCAAGCTCTGCTTACAACACCAGAGACCAAGAATCTGGTTTCTAAGTTTGCTGCCTCCGAAGGAGCATTTTACAGGGCTTTTGTGAAGTCCATGATCAAAATGAGCAGCTTAAATGGTGGGCAAGAGGTCCGGAGGGACTGCAGGGCGGTCAATTAGGAATTCCTGTTTTGTTTGATACCAAGAAAAACTACGACTTCCCGCAAAAGTAAAAGTACATGATTGAGAAATGGCTTCAAAACAACTCTCTGTTCCCTCAAAATTGTATGTTTATCTCAAAGCAATCATATTCAAGCGTGTCTTGTAAAGTGAACTTAGAAAATGATCATAAGATGTTTCCCATTCCAATTCAACTGGTACCGACCCAGCTTCGTGACATGTTCTCTATGTTCAACTATAGGCCGTCCTGTTGATACATAATTGATTATTCAACACGTGCCATTCACTATGAAAATATTGAAAACTGGTATCAGCGGCATGAAAATGTTTAAACATGAGTCACTTAAAAATGTTCACAATAAAGTGATATGTAAAACCTGATTAACTAATTTGGGTAAACTAAAAATATTAGTTAAATTAGTTAATATGATTTATTTATTTTTCTAAAACACTCTAATCATATTTAATTCTCTTCTTCTCTCACCTACTTGATTATTATTGAGAGAATATCAATAAGGTGAAATTGAGAAAAGATTGATAAATATGTGAAACATGTTTTGCACAGATGACCAATATTAATTCTCAAATTATGTCCTATATTAAGAATCCAAAAAGTAACTAATAAGTCAATTAAAATGCTAGGTTTCCATATCGCAATATGAACAGTTTGATTCGGAAAGAATTAATCAAACACTTTAGATGTGAGGGAAAAACTGAACTCGATGAGTAAGAGTTAGGAAGTCATGATCAAGATTTTGATGCCAAGTGAGAAAAACTAAAGATTCAGCGAGGAATGACATCTAGGCGTTGAAAGACTGATGTAAGCATGTAATCAAAAAAGAAGAGGACTGATTTAAGCACAATTAAGTTCCAAAATAATTATTTGTAACTAACAACCTCTTATTTGTAACTTGTATAATTTCCAACTAGTGCTCCAGTAACTTATAACGCAAGTCGATAATATTTGTCATCATATATTATCAAATAGGATTCTATTTTTACTAAACATGTCCCATTGAAAATTTGTATTCCTCATTTTTAGTGGAAATAATTTCTTGACATAAGGAGCACTGAAGAATCCTAACGGAAAAAATTTAAATTAGAAACTTTTGTGAACTCTCAAAATTAATTCTAACTGCAAACTCATGATTTTTTATCTTAATATTTTTTCCAAATTAAATATGTTCAATTTTTTTTTTTAAAAAAAAGGAATCCACTGAGACAAGCACATTCAATCAAAAAAATAAAAAATAAAAATCCAATTTGATTCTGAAATCTATCCTAAATATCGAAGGATTCGAAATATATTTTATAGTATATCTTACCTACGAGATAAAATCTACTTAGAAATCTACATCATCATTATAGTAATCATATTAAATTTCATGCATCACGTGAGCCCGACAATCTACTGTAAAAATATAACTCAACTACTATGGGGTGTGAAGACGCCATTTTACTCATGTTATTGGTTAATATTTATCTATTTATTTATTATTTTGCTTGTGGATGAAATTGCTAGTTTGCTATACATGAAATTGGAAATTAGAAATTATTTGGAAAAAATATATATATTTAAAGATATATTCTATAACATAAACAGTACATCAAATGCAATTTTTAAAAGTTAAAGTTAATTATTTTAAATTTGCAGAATTTACGATTCGCAAAAGGTAAGGATATCTTTTGACCGAAAAAAAGTAAAGATCTCTAGCATTTATTTTTAAATTCTAGATATTGTATTTTATATTAAATACCAGCCTAATTGATCTAAAAGAAATATTTGAGCACGTTTGGCAAAATAAAAATTCTAATTTGGCACTAAAAATCAAAATTATAATCACTTTACCCAAGGAATTAATAATACTTTATCAACTTCAACCTTTTTATGATATTTATTTGTAAATATTTAAATCATTTTTTGTTTCTTCTAATTTGGGAAATCTTGTTAATTATACATCTGATATAACAAAAGAAAATAAAGAGTTAATCTCGTTATATTTAAACAAAAGGCAAACAAATTATTTCTGGGCACTAAAATCAAAATTATAATCACTCAATAATATTTTATCAACTTCAAATTTTTTATGATATTTATTTGCAAATATTTGAATCATTTTCTGTTTCTTCTTATTTGAGAAACCTTGTTAGTTATACTTGGGATATAACAGAAAAAAAAAAATCAAGAGCTAGTCTCTTTATATTTAAACAAAAGGGAAACAAATTATTTTTGGATCACTTATGTGTCAAACGAAATTAAATAAGAAGCACAAAATTAAAGCCTCAAATTAATTGAATTTATAATAATATAATAATATTATAATCATATCAATTTTTTAATTTAAAATTTATAAAAAATTATAACATCTATTAGTCATACAAATGAGATCTCATTTATCTATTTATTGAGTGTCATAATTTGCTTTTTTAATATATATTAATAAGTTTATAAAATGCATGTAATTTTCTACAATTAAACAAACATGAAATCAAAATAATCTTGAAGCTATATATATATATCTTATCACTACCCGTTGATTAAAATATAACATAATCTCATCATATCTTGGTTAAAGAAAAATATACAAATAATAGTTTAAATTTAACACACACCATTGTTTTCGGCCCAAATGCAACGTATGATAGGAAGAGTGGAAGACCGAGAACTCGAGAATCTGTCTTTCTGCGTTGCTCTCTTTTAGCCGTTCTTTTCGTTAGTACATCATGGATGTTGTCGCTCTCATTCATTCTGTTCGCTCTTCGTTTCATGATCGTAGGAGCTCTCTGGATGATGCAAAATCCGAATTGGCTGAAATTTTAGCTGCAGAGTCTGATGCTTCTACTGCGAAATTGTCTTCGGATTCATCCGATGATTTGGCCGATGGATTATCTTCAATCCATATTCAGGTTTGCTTTTTCCCTTGGCATGCCTCTTAAGATTATGTTATGGAAGTATGGGGATTAATTTCAGTGATTATTCTCTCTCCCATTATCAATACTGTCAGTGAGTAAGTTCATTGCCTCCGAAACATTTTTGATACTTATTTCAAACATTTTTCATGTTATTTTTAATAATAGGGTCGTGGAAGCTCGCCTGATGATGCCAAAACAAATACTCCGATGACAAGTAGCCAAGTGAGTGATCACGCTTCACATGAGACTTTTACCGGCAGCCACCAGCAACAGTCTGAACTTGAAGGTCCGACGGATGCAACGGGGTTCCGAAAATCCTCTTCAAACCACAATACACAAAGCGGTGGATATGGATCACAGTCTCATGATGTTAACGTCCTCACACAGCATCTTCATCATCGTGGAGATGGTCCTAGTCGATACGGTTATTCGGGCAGGCGTGGACAAAACCGGCGGCATCGAGATTGGAAAGTTCATAGGACTAACAGTGGTGGGAACATGCATATGCCACCCGGAGGTTTTCTCAGGTTTACAAGGGCTCTGCACCGCCCGCCGCTGTCGCCTTATCCATTTTCTCAGTATTTTCCCCCTTTCGTGCCACCAACTTATGGCGGCACGCACAAGCCCCCTCCCGGTATGTGGTTTCCTAAATATCAAAATGTATTTTGCATGATGGCTATACATTTATGCGCTGATGATGCTACACATTTTCAGGATTTGGTCCCAATTTTCCATATTATGCTGCTCTACCTCCTAGTCTTGCTCCTTATATGCCACCTTATGGGAATGTTTCAGCTCCGGATCCTGAATTGAGCGTTAAGATTGTCAGACAAGTCGAGTACTATTTTAGGTATTACATTAGATTTAGATGCCTTCTGCTCAATTATTTGTCCTAGTCTTCCTATTTTAACCAATTGTGCCTGTCTATTGCAGCTTTGATAACCTAATTAAAGATATGTACTTGCGTAGACAAATGGATGAACAAGGTTGGGTTCCAGTGAGATTAATAGCAAATTTCCGCAAGGTAAATTTTCTGCTTACGTTTTGTTGTGTAGACTGTATTATTCTTTCAGTTTTTTTCTTCTATTCAAAAGTAAAAACCTATATATAAGGGAATATGATGGAAAGAGATTAGAAAAAGCATAGAAGAAAAAATAAAAAACAGAGAAAAGGAAACAAGCAGAGAGAAAACTGAAAATAATAATAACAACAATTAATCCTCTGATAACAAAATAATGAAATACTGAGAAATCTAAATAAATCTTCAAAATCTAAATTTCTTTTCATATCCCATCAATTGCTTTATGTCTATTCGTAAATATTTTGCATATTTTTGTGACTTTCTTTCTTTGCAGATCAAAGAACTGACCGACAATATTCAGATTATATCAGAAGTTCTTCAAACTTCAACTGTTGTCGAAATTCTGGTATTTTTTCTGTGCTTTACTTGTGTTATTTTTATGTCTTAATAATTAGCTGTCTTATTTTAATAGCAAATTATTTTTCCTCTCAAACTTGTAGGGTGACAAAGTAAGGCGACGGGATGATTGGCAAAGATGGATTATCCCTCGTTCATATCAACTTCCTGATGTTCCAAGTTCTGGAATCTTCAATGAGCCAAGTCAAAACTAGCTGCAGAACATGCCCCTCCTGTTTTTTTATCGGTGAAAATCAACAATGATGAGCTTCTTCACACATGAGTGAAGTCGGGCGAGGAAGGCTCGCGGTCACCTGAGTCATAGGCTGCTAGAAGAAATGATTGCTTACATTCTTTTGTGTGTTTGTTCATTAGTACTACGTGGGGAAATTTTTTCAAAAAAAAAAAAAAGACGAAGAACGATTAGGTTTCAGGATTAGATGCTGTGAAAAGTAGGTTGTTATTCAGATGGCAAGAGTCTTAGCTGCAAATCAATAAAGGTAAGGGCATTTAAGTCTCACAGGACATCTAAACGAACGAATCTTGTCCCATGAGACTTAAATGCCTTTGCTTTTTCTGATTGGCAGCTAAAACTCTGATTGTCTCGATGAATAATTGGAACTTATGTTCATTTGTAATGCTATGAGACAGGATTGTCATTAAATTGATCTTTTTAATGTCCAGCTGTCATGCTGGGGGGGGTAATAAAGCTCCCTAAAGTATATTTTGCTTCTTCTTTTTTTTTTCCCCCCGTAAAACATGTATTTTGCTTCATGATTGCATGCTTTCAATAGTCTTGCCGTCTCGGTCTGAATTTTTGTACGTAGGGAATTTTATTATTGTTTACCCTGTTTATCCCGTTGCCCCCATTTGGAACGAGAGTTAGCCTTCCCCCACCTGAGCAGCAGTAAAGAAAGATGGGCTGAACCTGCTGTTTATGTTCAGAGATTTTATTCTTATTCCTTGTTGCCGTGGTTTAGATTTATATTATTTGGATAAATTTCACAACTATTAAGGAGCGTTGTCCGGTCAAAAAAAAAAGGAGCGTTGATGAAACGAGGGGTCGGCATTGTTGTGTGGTGCTGCGAGCATGATCTCTTTGTATAAAAAAGTTGGGGGGGGGGGGACCACATGCGCGTGTTCAGGAGAATTGGATAGGAGGCCGATAATATGCATAGGCTGGTCAATTAGTCATGGATTAGTGAAAGGGAGAATTGCAGTTTGGTCCACTTAAGGGAATTAAATATAAAAATGTCCTTTGAAATTATGAAATTATTTTGAAGTCTTAGGGGATCTTTTTGTAATAAATTTTATTTGTTTAATTATTATACAACTGAAAGAGTAATGGTTGACAACTCAGGGTACAAAGATTACAACTATCATGACTGGTTTGACAACATATTTTCTCAGCATATCACATCATAAGTTATCAAACCAACCGCGATAGTTGTCAATCTTTACATCCTGAGTTGTCAACCACTACTCTTTCAGTTGTCTTGTCAATATAAACTTAAAAAAAAAATAATTTAGTAAATAAACAAATAAAATTTAATACAAATTTTTTTTAAAACTTTAAATAATTTTATAATTTCAAAAGACTTTTTTATATTTAATTCTTTTGAGTAGTATCTAATTGCCATTTTCCCTTGGTGAAAATTGCTTAGAGGTCGCGGAATGAAGATTTGGCCAAGTGTTGTTACGAGGACATAGCGAGGCAAGGGCCGTCCGGCGGGGGAAGCGGGGAGTCCTAGGTTAGGCATTTATGTGCGTACTATGAATGTGTCAGGACGAGCATTTTAATAGTATAATTAACAAGTGACAGTATTGCAAGGGCGTGATGCGAGGGCTTGTGGGAATCTGAGAATGAAGTGATAAGACCAGCGGGCAATGCCACGTTGCCCTTCAACATCCGCAAGGGAACAACAAGGTTCACTCTCTGTTTCTGACGCCGACCATGCCTTCTTCGCTGTGCCACCTGCTGTCGTCGAATCCTTTCTCTCCCTTCTTTTTCAGTATGGCTTTGTCAGATCCACGCGTCTGCAGCGGGTTCAAACAAAACCTAAGCCTATGAACTCGTCCTTTCAACGCACATTGGAAGTAACTATAAAGTTTTTAAAGGAATGAAGGAAGTAATGGTCACTTGCCCGATTATTCCGGGACTGATTTAGGCACTGTTTAGATAAAAAATCAAATCTTAATTTTAAAATAATTTTGCACTATACAAAATAAATTGTAGAAATAGTATATGGGAAGAACTTAATTTGTGTGGAAGTACTTTTACATTCAACCAAACAGCCTTACGTTTTCTTTTCCTCTGTATCCCAAAGGAAAAAAAAGAAAAAGAAAGTAACGAATCTGGAGGGAAAAACATTACATCCTCCTCCGTTCATATATGTATATATAAGGTGTTT